AGGCCGTTTGCTGCCACGTCCGTAACCCAGGCCAGGGGGTTTGAGCAGGAGGAAGGAAAGCGCTCGGCTCCTCTGCTGTCCCAGATGACAAAGCGACCTGCCTGCGCGGTACAGGGTGAGTGGCTCCCTCTTCCTCCCCATCCCTCCTGCGCTCACACTGCTGCCTGCGCTGGGCACCTCTGGGCTTGGGAAGAGCCCCAGACCCCGGACCCCAGGAGCTGAGACGTGTCCCATCCTTTAGACCTGTGGCTGGGGGGGATGGGGGGCTGGCAGGCGGGCTGTCTTGCCCCCAGCCCCCCCGCAGCGCGGAGGGGTGCTGGTCTTCTGCGTCCTTCCCTTCTTCTCCCCTAGGCAGGGAGCAAAACCGAGCAAAAAAAAAAAAAAGCCAAACAGCATCAGGCTTTGGTGCATCTTTGAGAAAGCAGCTATTGCACTGATCTGGGCTTACTCCGGCTGTGGAAAAGCCCCAGGTGCCTGTAAGACCTGGAGGGAGAGATCAGGGCAGGTTTCAGCTCCGTCCGCCCCGTGGAGTCCCCGCAGCTGAGAGCGGCTCTGCGGGGCCGGAAATGCCCAGCTCGCAGAGTCAGGGGATTTGTGCGAAACAAAGGAATGAAACAAACTGAAAAGGATGGTCGCGACCGTTGTGGGGCTAGAAAAAAGCCTAAAATTAGCAAGCCCGAATGTAAAATTTAGGCTCCGTTCATACTTTAAAAAAAAAAAAAAAAAAGAGCTATTCCCACAGCTTTTGAAGTTGGGTTCCTCAAAGATATGAGTGTGGGTGCCGGTTAGTGAGGGTTTCACTCAAAGTTAAAACCCCCTCCACATTCATGTTTTTGAGAACCCCCCAGGCTAGCCCAGGGCTGGATCCTGCACCCGGTAGCAGGCGACGGTGGTGCCATCAGATCAGGGGGGGTGTTTTCTGGGTGCCTGACCCCCATGCTGGGCAGCCCGTGTTCCTCTTGGCTCCCACAAGAGCTATCGTGCAAGCTGTCCCCTGGGACGGGAGGGAAAGAAGGGTCCCCGTCACCAACCTCACGTGCCGTCGAGGTTGAGCTCGCTGCAGGGACGCGAGTGGGTGCTTGTAACGCCGTTCCAAGGCTACGTCCAGGGGAGATGGCTGGGAAGGAAATGTTCTTCCCGTCTCAAAATAACCCTGGACTGACTGTTCCTTACCTCTGGGTACGGACACACGGTGGACTGGGTGCTCCCGCTAATAGCAACATCTTGCTGTAGGTCTCAGTCTGCCTTGACATGTAGAGCAGAGTCATTTTTTCCCTGCTTTTAAAGCTGGGGAAAGAAAGGCACAGCATCAGCTCGTGAACCG